CAAGAACCAGGGCAACAACCAACCTAGTTCTCTAGGTTTTGATCAGTCCTCGCAGGTTCTTGAAGATTTTCAACCCAGAAATACCAACAGCACAAAGAGAAGAGATAACCAACCTTCTTTTGAGAGCTTCAGCCAACCATTCACTGTTGAAGTCGTTTTCTTAAGAATGGAGGTTTTGCGCACCAGAGAGAAAGAAAGCTGAGATGTTTCAGGCCTAGGAAGAACCAGTTTTCTCCATTGACAGCCCAGAAAAGAAAAGGAGAGAACTGAAGCACGAACTGAAGTTGTCATGAACTGAAGCAGGTCACGAACCCTACTCTGATACCATGTTTCAACTGCTGCTACAGTAGTCCGAACCAGTAAGGAGAAGAAGAAAGAGAAGGAGAAGAAGAAGAAGAGAAGAAGAAGAAGAAGAAGATGAAAGAACTGTCGAACCTAATAGACTAAACCCTATCAGTCAACCTCTTAATAGTGATTAGGCTCTAATTAATTGTACAAAGACTAAACTGCCCCCACTTAAGTATGGGACAGAGAGTCTCTAATACGACTGCCACATAAGCACATAACTTAACAAAGGTGAGTTGACTAATCTACACTTATTCAGCTAACTCTAACACTCCATAAAACAGAACCTTCTCCATGCCGCAAGATGAAAAGTCAGGCAGACTTCTACTTGCTGAAAGCCGAACAACAGATGGACACAACTGGAAGATGAAGGGACAGACTGCTCGACTTTGGAAGATGAAAAATCAGACTGCTCGACATCACCCTTCAGGCCTGAACGATCTGCTTTGATACCATGTTGAACAAGAGAAAGGGAGAGAGGAGAGGTGAGAGGACTGAGAGCCCAAAAGAATACTACAGGTGAGAGGACTAAGAGGATGTACCAGTCATGTGTTTAGACGCTCTAGAATCAATGATCCGAGGAGTGTCGGGGTATGAGATGCTACATGGAAAGTTGTGGCAGAGTTACTTGATGCAGACGCAAATGAAGTTGAGGGAGGAGCATCCATCTGACGAATTGCTCTACTATAGATCTCTAAATGGTCACGGAAGGAATTAATAATATCCTCCCATGGGTCAGATCCAGAGGCGTGAGACGGAGTCACAATAGTAATGGGGGGCTGATTCTCTTGAGAAGCCATGTTTGCCATAGTGTTCTTTCTTGTACTTTGCTGTCCTAGCTTTTTATTCAAATCTGAACCTTGCTTCTTACTCAAATCTTGAGCCCATTTTGGCTTCCCATGAAAATCCCAGCATGTATCTCGGGTGTGTCGGGGTTTCTGGCAATGAGTACACCACAGTTTGTGCTCTTTTTTGAAAGTTCCCCCTCTTAAAGGTATTTCCACCACCTGTAATCACACTCCCTTTTGCTGCCAACCCAACTGCATCCCCTCCAGAACTGTTCATCAAATTCCTTCTACTTTCTTCTGATTGTACAAGAGCATAAACTTCCTGGACGGAGGGAAGATCCTTGCTACCTAGGATCTGAACTCTAATAGATTCATTTGCAGGATTCAAGCCATGTAGGAAAGCAAAAACTCTCTACGGAGAAACAAGTTTCTTGTATAATTTTGCATCTTCATCACACTTCCGGTCCACACTCTGATAATGATCTAACTCCTTCCAGATAGAGGTCAAGTCTAAGTAGTACACAGAAAGGCACCTCTCCCCCTATTTACAAGTGGACGATTCTTCCTATAACTGATAAATCTTTGCATAGTGATGCAGCTCAGAATAGGTTGATTTTCCTTGTTCCTAGATTTCATTTGCAGTTTCAGCCCACATAAAGTTCCCTCTTATTTGAGGTTGCATAGACACTAAAAGCCAGGACATGACCATGCTGTTTTCCTGGTTCCATTTGTCGTATTCAGCACTCGCAGAATTGGGTTATTTGATTCCTCCATTTATATAACATATCTTTCCCCTTGCAAAAATGTACAACATGATCCCTCTTGACCATTCTAAATAATTTAAACCGTCGAGAGGAATAACAGCCATGGGAAAGGATAGGTCCGCACCCCCACTCATTCCATTCTGCATTGAGGAAACACCGGACGTAGCAGAATCTTCACCGCTCATGGTTACAGATTCAAAAAACTCTTAAAGTGGGAGCAAAACCTTAAAGAAAGGCTAACACCAAGGGAGAAAGGAATCGCCTTTTTTACAACCCCTTTTGATAACACCAGGTGCTGTTACCCCCTTTTTTTGATAAACCCAGGTGCTGTTACAGCACTAACAGTCCCTTTTTTGATAAACACAGGTGCTGTTACAGGGTGGACAGGTCATTTCTTGAACTATGCATCAAACATAGATGCTGTTATAGCAAGTACAGGCCACTCTGACCTTTAGGTTCAGCATAAAAGCTGCTTTCTCAGCACATAAAAGGTCTTCACCGACCTACAGATTTTTACAGGGGTCGAACTGTAGATGATGGAGGCAGATCTGGAAGTCTGGTGCGATCTCTCCTTTTCAAATCTGATGGTCCCGCTCTGATACCATGTTATCAGTGCTGTGATGCAGGAGAGAAGAAGAGAGGAAGAAAGAAGAGAGAGAGAATGTTATAATTCAGGTCTGCCTTAGAGTTCGGCTTGACCGAGTTCAGTTATGTAGAAGAAGAAAAAGTGATAAACAAAGAGAGAAAGAGAGAAAGAGAGAAGAGAGAATTCTGGTTCGAACTGAAAGAGTCAACTTGACTTCTCCCAGTCGGCCAGTAAGTATTTATATTATTATTAAAACATAACTNAAAGAGTCAACTTGACTTCTCCCAGTCGGCCAGTAAGTATTTATATTATTATTAAAACATAACTGAAAAGACCTATGTGCCCTTACTTAAGTTAAGAGCACATGTTTCAACACAACATTACAGATCAGCAACATCAATCAAGGTATAAAGACAGAAATACCCCTACGCTAACAGAGAAGAAAGATTTGAGAGCCAAAAAGCTTGCTGGCAGCGCCAGCTTTTTTGTATATAAACTAGGGCGACAGCAACTAAAAAAAAAAAGAGGAGAATTACAATAGTACCCCTGTGGTACTATACTTAGATAAATAACAGCTTTTAACACTTGTGACATTGAAAAAGTTGTTAATAAGGATGTGGAAGTCAGCAAAATTCTAGGTCTATTTTTCCTAGGAGGGGAGGAGTTTGCGAAGAAAGCTTTCAGGTCTGTGGAGGAAAGGTTTGATGGAGCTAGTGAGAATAACATCAAGGAAAAGGAAGAGGTTTTGAAGGGGGAGATTGTTCCGGATAGGGGTCAGAATTCTGAGGGGAAGATGGAAGAAGTTGTTCGAGCATTAAATATAGTGAGAAGACTCAAAACTCAGAAGATTAAGAAAAGTCAATAACAGATACCATTTCAAAGGTTTTCACAAGGATAAAAGGAGGTTTGTTTGGCCTTGGGCCCAACAAGAAAGTAAGGAAACACAACCTCATCCAGAAGACAATAGGAAGATTGTAGTAAAAAAATTAACAAGTAGTTCAGAATCCATTGTGGGTCTAGTTTTTCGCTATGGCTTTCAGGTGGGGGGTTTTATTTATGTTGGGAATTGTATGGGTTTTTGTTTTTGGCTTGTTTTGCTGTTCACATGTCAGTTCTTTTTCTTGTTTTGGGGCTTGGTTTTTGAGGTTTTGGATTTGTTGGGAGGGTTTGGCTTACATGGGTGTTTTAAGCTTTAGTTGGATGTCCTTTGGGTGTTTTCATTTCATTTGGGTGATTGCTTATCACCTTTCCTTGTATCCTATTTTCTTCTTGTTTTAATAAAATTTTTTATTTATAAAAATCTTCAGACTTCACATATGGGTTAACGATTTCTCCACTAACCACCTTCTCTCTTACAAAGTGACAATCCACCTCTATGCGTTTAGTTCTCTCATGATACACTGGATCGAGGAGATATGAATGGCTTCCTGATTGTCACAAAGCAACTTAGTGGGAGTTGTGACTGACATTCCCATTTGTTGTAGCAACTGCTTTAGCCACACCAACTTGCACGTAGTGTGGGCCATGGCTCTATACTTGGCCTCAACACTACTACTAGCCACCACATTCTACTTCTTAGTTCTTACTCTTCCAAGTAATCTTATTTGTTCCTAGTCAGCATTTGTATATCCTTCCAAGGAAAGTTCCTTCCCTTTCTTATACAACAACCCTTGGCTTGGAGCACCCTTCAAGTAGCATAGTACTCTAACAATACCTTCCCGATGGGATGTCTTTAGGTTTTGCATAAACTGGCTCAATAGTCCAACATTGAGAATCTGTTTGGTTTGTGGGATGGGGATGAGAACGATGATTTGTGTCTGGCCTGAACTCAATTGGTGTATAGAGGAGATTTGAGCTCGATTCGATTTTAGAGTACCTCTCTTTAGACAAGAACGATGATTTGTGGCCGGTTACCAAGCTTACCAATTGTAGCTTCACGAGTGTTGGGTTTATGTTGAAAACGATACGAGAAATGCGATCTACTCTAGTGTACTTCTTCCCTCGCCGCCGATAGAGACATTCTATAGAGGACTAACAAACGGAGAAGAGGATGGAGGGAGAAGGATAGGAATATGTGAGTAAGATTTAGAAATGGAGAGAGGTGGGGGTTTGGTTTGCTGCTACCTGTTAGTCCAAAGGTAGGAGATGATGAACAGTCACTCCCCTTCCTCCTTTTTCTTCTTGTTCCAAATAGGAAAATTAGGTTTGTCTTTAGTCTGAACAGTTTGTTGCTACCTGTTAGTCCGAACTACTGTCTTCGGTGGCACTGTTTGCTTTCCAATTGTGACCAGCAGCATTGTTCATCGTCTTCGCTTTCCACCGGCGAACTACTGTTCGTCTTTCATCTTGGTGAAACAGAGCACCCCATAGCGAAGAAGTAGCTCGTCACAGTTCTTTTCCCATTATTTTCCCATATATAAAACCAAACAATGGAAGTGTAAATGTTTACACTTTTCCATCCCATCCCATCCCATCCCATCCCACCCAAATCTTCCCACAAACCAAACGGAGCCTGAAGGAAATGTTTGGCCTTGTGATGGTTAAATAAAGCAGCTTCCCAACTAATCTCCTATATCATCCAGGATCAACTAGGTGCTCCCCCTCATTATCAGACATCTTCACATTTGGATCCATAGGAGTATCCACTGGTTTTGGCCCTAATAGACCGGTTTATTCCAACAAGTCAAGCACATACTTTCTTTGTGAGAGAGAAATTCCCCACTTTGACCTTGCTACTTTATGCCCATAAAATATTTTAAGTGCCCCAAGTCCTTAGTCTGGAACTAGTTTTGTAGGAACTATTTGAGTTCTTCGATGCCATATTCATCACTCTTTGTAATAATAATGTCATCAACATAGACTGCCAACACAATCTTCCCAGAGGCAATATCTCTACTAAACACTGAGTGATCAGCCCTACTAAACTTTTCCAACCCTTGGTTACTGTTAACAGCTGTTATTTTTCCTATGTATAGTACCGTAGGGGTACTATTGTACTTTTACACTTTTTTATTTTAGTTGCTGTTGCCCTAGTATATATATTAAAAAAGCTGCACCGCCAGCAGTATCTTTTGCTCTCAGTTCTCTTTTCTCTCTTCTTCTCTCTCTTTTTTCTCTCTTCTTCCATTCTTCTCTCCTGCATAACATGGTATCAGAGCGGGACTATCAGATCTGAAAGAAGTCCAGTGAACAGTTTTTTTCTTCTTCGCACCAGATTTCCAGATCTGCCACCCTCATCTGCTGTTTGGCTGATTGAAGACCTCACACACTGAAGTAACTTTTCTCTCTCTCTCTTACCTTTTTATTCTGGTTGTGTGCTAGGGCAGAACCTGTACTAGGCTTGCCGTTTGGATGTGAGGTGATCAG